ATCTATAAAAATAACGTACAAAGGGAAAATATATTGAATAATTAAAGGACTTAATCCATTTCATAAAATTTTTTTTTTCTAAAGAAAGAAATGGATTTTTATTAATCGGACTGATTTTTTATCACTTTAAACGTTATTTTTAATGGATACTCGTGTTTGAGTAGACGCTCCGTTTCTTTATGAAACAGTATATTTATTTATTTCCATCTACCGTCCTGCAAATCTTGTTCATTTCGTAATATGACCCTTGTGACCCGTTTTTCCCAAACAATCTGCCGCAGCAGTCAACCATTAATTAAGTAAGAGGATATTAATTAATGAGATGGACACCGCTAAGTAGACTCGTTAATTATAGAAAGGCCATGAACGACACATCTGGAATCTCGGGCATGGCTTAATTTGATTGGATTTATTTTATTTGTTGTAAATTTGTTCATTTAATTAATTAATTATATGATTGTTATATTAAAATATAAAAAACAGTTTCATTTTTTTACAGTGATGTTCACTCTGTACAAAGCCAAAGAACCACTCGAGTTAGAGTGCTATGGATTAAGCGGCAGCACTTTAAGAATGGTGATTATACCATCAAGAAGCAAGGAGCCATTGGAAATGAAAGAGAAGAAAAACCGGAAACCCAATTCTAAACAGGAATCATGAGATAAACTTCTACTCTTGTAGAAGCACGGAAGGAGTGTGAACCGGGCGATAAGAGAACCTATCTATTCCTACGGAGTAAAAAAATTTAAATAAATAGTAAGCTCTTCTCAGGTCTTTTGAACATGTGTGAAAGTTCATACCTTGTTTTCTATTCTGGATTTGATTTCTTATTCCGTCTAAAGTATTTTCATTCCCAGTAGCCGCTTACGTCTTAGTGGCATTTTCATCTTGCTTGGGGTGAACTGATTAAAAATAATAAATAAAAGTGTCTAATTTTTGGATGGGCGTTAGAATCGTAGCGTGTAAAGCAGAATTTAGAAGGAGCCGAAAATCCGGTCCTAAACGAAAAACAAGAGATAAATATTAGCACCTGTTCAAAAGATAAGGTTAGAGTTTGAACCGTGCCTTTAACCGATTTGGCCACAGAGGAGCTTTCGGTTAGCAAGGTCGATTATACTGTCTTTAAACTACAATCTTCCATGATTCTCTCATGTACATTCATATCTGTTCAATGCGTATCCAAATGTAAACAAATAATTGTCGGACTTTGTCTATTCCATAATGTGTGACATCATATTTGTATCTATGAAAAAAATGTATAAACATAAAAATGTCTTAATATATATACATATATATATATATATACACATATATATATAGTCATCCACGGACACACTGTTTCTCTGTATCACAGCTCATCAGTGTAGCTAGACATCCGATCGCTTCAACGGGGCCGAAATCAGCACCGGGCAGAGAGAAAGGCTACGAAGCTAATTTGTTGAATCATAAGTAATTTCCGTGTTGGAGGAACTAGTTGTAATGACGAATTTTGGATGAACGTTAGAAATGTAGCGCTGAAGTAGACTTTAGAATGCGTCGAAAATCCAGTCCTAAATAAAACAGAAGACATACACTTTTACACCTGTTCAAAAGATAGGGGAGGAGTTTGAACCGGCCGTAAGATACGAGAAATATTAAAACATTGACAGTTGCATGTATAACGAAATTTAGTTGAACATTTCTAACATTCTCTAAACGAAAGAATTCAAAATATACATGGCTTTATATATATATATATAGAGAGAAAGTTAGTTATCCACAGACAGACTGTTTCGTTGCATCACGGATCATCAATGTGGCTAGACATCCGATCGCTTCAAGCCGGGACTGAAACCCGAGCGATTTGACATCAATCGGAGATTCTAAGCACTAGGCCATTGGCTACCGAAATATTTTGTTGAATCATAAGTAATTTCCGTTTTGGAGGAACCAGTTGTAATGATGAATGTATCTTCTTTATTAAGTATATGCTAAATACTGATTTTCTAAGCGTAGCTTAGATGTGGCACAAGGCCGAAAGGATCGAACACACTTTTCAGTCGAACCTGTTTTAGCGAGACAAGCTTGCTAACCATTACACTACGTCGAGGTGGGGGCAACCAGTGAGGATCGAACTCACTACTTAGTCGTAATTGTTCTAGTGAGAACAGCTTGCTAACCATTACACCACCTCGAGGTCCCCAAAGTATATCCTAAATATATCATAACGCGATGAAAAGTGGATAACATACAACGCTAAAGGCAGTGGATTGACAACGATAAATCTCTACAAGCTACCCCCCACCAAAAAAAGGTAATGATTATTTACTCGCTGCCCCACGCAGAAAATGTGGCACAAGGCCGAGTTTAAAGTGGGGTATCCGAGCCCGTAGGCTCGAGCAAAAATTCCCTAGAGACCACGTAAAAACGGAGTCAGTTTCCCGAGACGAGACTCTGCCCTTCGGCAGAGCCTCGTATCTGTGAGGATACCCTTTCACATAAGCCAGTTGTAATTGTGGTAGAATCGTCGAGTTTTACATTTAGAATCCTTAAAATGCCAAATGCACATATATACGTCTAGCAGCTGCAACGTGTTCATAACGGTTTAATCGGAAAGTGCTCTGCGCTTATCAATAGGAAAATGTTCTCTATAACAACACAAAAGCCATGTCCATCAAAAACGACACACCCACTTGCCATATTTCCTTGACCTAGCACCAAACGATTATTACATTTTTTAATCGTTGCAAAACACTTCGATGGACAAAATAAACCTAGATTCAAGTATTCGTTGCAAGCTTTTGTACATGAAGAAAGGCATATCGAAGAAATGTCTGATAAGTGGCAACTAGTGATTAATCTTCAATTGTTATACTTTTTCTTGATAGACAAAAACCTGAAATTATTGCTGACTAAACCTAATAGGTGTACTATAGCTCAGAAAAGGGGAGCTAAATCCATTCTCCAACAAACTTCTGGTGCGTGGCCGATTGGTTGGCTTTTCGAATCTCATCGTGGTCGAAGGTGAATTCTTGATGTTAACGGCCGTGGAAAGCGTCCCCAGCGTGCAGCACCTTTGGAAAGTGCCTGAAAACCATACCATGGATTGACCCAAGCCTTGTGAGTGAAATTGGGTAGACGAAACTCTTTGGGAGACGTCAATGGTTGAGCCAGCAAGAGGGTTTAATCGTGCTGGCCTTGTTCAGACTCTTGATTACGCTATATAATGCGCTCTCTCCCTGAACTAAGCCCCGCTCAGCATAGTTGGAGTATAAACCATAAGAGGCCTCTGTGAGTGTTGAACAAACGCAAATATGTCTGAACAGGTGCCTTTTACCGGGGATTGGCTTGATTTTTTTTAACTTTTTTTTTCTTTCTTTGTGTGTATGTCTCTGTCTGTGTGTGTGCGTGTGATTAAATAAAACTAAAATGAAATTAGATTAAAAATAAAAAGTGAGAGTAAAGAAAAAAATCGCTTTCTCAAGAATTTTATTTACTTTTTTAAAACTTTTTCCCCACATTTACGTACTGGCCAGGCTTGTCGCTGCTTAACCAGGACTGATATTTCCTGTGTGATTTAATTGTATGTTGGCGTGTCAAAAAATGCTTCTCTTGACACAACTTTTACTTTATACTCAAAAAGTCATTGTTATTGATTTTTTAGTATTTTAATAAAAACATAAAATAATATTTATATGATAAATAATAAATACTTCATTATAGTTTGTTCATATATTTTTTATAATCTGGTAAATATAAATTTATTCTGATAGTGAACTACAAGAATATTTTAATAATCTTATAAAATAATAATTTAATGATATTGTTCGCAAATTAAATTCTATACACTTGTAAAAAATATTGTTCTCAAATATTTTAGAATCTTCTAAATAAGTAGTTCCCAACCGATTTTGGGTCATGTCCCACTTTGGTATTTCTAAAATTCTGGTACCCCACCATAATATTTAATTCTTATATTTCAAAATTTTACAGCAATTCACGTGAAGAAAGCTTAAGCCATTAACTTTGTCTCTAAACAAGCCTCCTAAGACCATGGCGTCCATGAAAGAGAAACATTAAAAAAACAGAAAGACAGTTAAATATATATAGTTTTAAAACATATAATAGAGAACTGAAAGGTAGAAATATAAAATATTTGAATGTAACTTTATTCTGTAATATACTTTGATTATTTTAATCATGAAATAATAATGCAAAATGAAATTTAAGCTCACTAGAAAATAATTCATTGTTAATAACTCATTCTCAAATTGCCCCCTTATTCTGTTGGTATAGTAAGCCGAAGGGTGCAAACCCTACGCATGCCCCACCAAAATATTACCAGGCCCCACCGGTGGGGCACACGACTCACATTGTTCTAAATAAACAATAAATAGTCTTTAATATTTTTGTTGCCAGTTCTCAAGACAAAGATGTATAAATTCAATTTCATATATTATAGTTTTATTAAAATTCTAAAAATAAATACTTAAAATTACAAAGGGGGCATACGGATGCGGGGTTGGGGATCGAAAGAAAAACGTCTGTCTCCCTCATCGTTCTTTTTATTGTTTTGTCTGGTCCTAATTTAAAGTTTGCCTAATTCTGTTTGAATGTTATATTGAGTGAATATTATTCCGTTCTAGAAAAGATACGGAAACAATTATTAAAGGAAAACGCCATTGTTCGCTTTTATAACTCTTATATTGTCAAACAGATATTTGCTGAATTCAGAATTTCGTCTTTGTTCATGTTCTTGATTCAGTAAAATGAATTTATTATCAATGTTGATACAGGTGGAAAGTTTGATTTCCGGAAAAATCAACAGAATTGGCTGGTTTAATACATTCAATAAATAAATAAACAGTTTGCAAACATGGCGAATCAATAATCAAACTTTCAGAACAAAATGAAAAGAAAATGACTGAAAGAGACTAAATAGGAACAAGAAAGGCGGCAATGAAAGAGATAGAGATAGAAAGAGTGAGAAATTAATGTAGAGAGAAGGATGGCGAGGAATATTAAGGAGAGAAAGAGACAGAGAGAAAGAAATTAATGTAGAGAGAATAAAGGGAGAGAGAGAGAGAGAGAGAAAGAAATGAAGGTAGAGAGAAGGATGACGTGGAGGAATAAGGTGGAGGAAAGAGAGAGAGAAAGATATGAATGTAGCGAGAAGGATGGCGAGAAAGAATAAGGAGAGAAAGAGACAGAGAGAAAGAAATTAATGTAGAGAGAAGGTTGGCGTGGAATAATAAGTGGGAGGGGGAGAGAGAGAAATAAATGAACGTAGAGAGAAGGATGGCGAGGAAGAATAAGGTGGGAGAGGGAGAAAGATATGAATGTAGAGAGAAGGATGGCGAGGAAGAATAGAGAGAGAGAGAGAGAGAGAGAGAGAAAGAAATGAAGGTAGAGAGAAGGATGGCATGGAAGAATAAGGTGGGACAGAGAGAGAGAAAGGAATAAATATAGAGAGAAGGATGGCGAGGAAGAATAAAGAGAGAAAGAAATGAAGGTAGAGAGAAGGTTGGCATGGAAGAAAAAGGAGAGAGAGAGAGAGAGAGAGAGAGAGAGAGAGAAAAGCAAAAAAGAGGAACGAAAGATTTGAAGTAAAAGTGACAGCATAAGAGATGAAACAAACCTGGAATAATTTCGAAGAAAGAGAGGAAACAGAAACAAGAGGAACAGAGAAAAAAAAGGCGTAATAAGGGAGAAAAAAGAGAGGCACAAGAATAAAGGAGGAGGGAAAGTGCTCTATGAAGGAGAGATATAATATATATAAGAAAAATATGTAAGATATATTAAATATAAGAAAAAAATGTGAGATATAAGCGAGAGAGAGAGAGAGAGAGAGAGAGAGAGAGAAACAGAGAGCGAGATGGAGAGACAGAGAGCGAGAATGAGAGAGAGATGGCTAATGCCATTAGTACGCAGGGGAATATGGTAAGTGAAAGAGAAAACTGAGACTAGGAAGGATTGAGGAAAGGACAAAAGATAAATGTGATTCAAGAAGACAGAAGATAGCAATTGACGTTGAACTTAAATTTTTGAATACTCTTGTTACCAGGAAATAAAGTAAACAGAAGGAAGTTCCACGGGTTGAAAGTGCAAGAAAATAAACTGTTGGAATAGAAGTGGCAGTTACAGTTAGCTCTCTCAGCAGTAAAAGGGTGGGACCTAGATGCCAATCTAGTAGCATGCGTAAATGCATGTTGTCAAGAAAAAAAAATTCATCAGAGCAGTTGCCATGAAAATATTTGTAGAAAAGACAGAGGGAAGCCATGTCCCGTCAATGAGAAAAGTACTGAAGTCGAGATGCCAGGTCAGGATCGATTAAATTACAGATCAAATGGAATCTTCAAAAATTTAAGTCCAACGTCAATCGCCGTCTTTTATCTTCTTGAACTACGTATATCTTTTGGCCTTTCCTCAATATGACATATCTGGAGTTTGTCGAGAATCTCTAGATGTACAGCAGGAGCAGCGGACCAGATATGTCAACAGTACTTAATGCATAGATGAATGCTAGATTTGTAAATGTGCAAGATGGATTTTGACGAGAAATATTTTCTGACACAACACGGTGACCCAACTTTCGTTGCAGCTATTGATTCGATAGAGTTACCCCACTTCATGTCGATGGAAAAAGCCAAGAAGGCGAAAAGTGTGGTTCTCCTAGGGCCTACTGTCAGCCATGTTGATGGCAGACAGAAAAGTTTTTCCGTGGTGCCTAATTACAGACAATAATTTTGTATTATCAGCTATGAAAATAGAGATTAATTCCATGTTTTGACAAGATGGTTTCCATTTAGAGAATAAAGAAAGCATGTCTTCGTATCCAGGGTTTGAAAATATTGACAAAAGTGCAGGGTTAATAAGAACAAAACTGAAATAACTGTGTGGAATGGGTCCAATATTAAAAGTTAATTGAATAATCGATGGATTCGAACCTTGATTCTCAAAACAATATTTACCCAATGAACTAAAGTGATGGAAATATTTATAAGACCCACACAAGTATAGTTTTTAAATTTCGAATATTACACATTTCCTTGGATATGAAAAATGGAAGTGAATCCGATTTAAAATCGATTTTAACAACTTAAACTTTTATTACATGCTAGCAGACTTTGCCTGTTCGTTATCGCTTCACAAATTAAGATATATTCACTACTTGAAATATTTGAAACAAAAATTTTAAATGAAAATTTCATTCATAAATTGGCTTGTTATGTTAAGGAAAATTTTACAAATAGATGCCATCTAGTTGAAGCCCAAGTAGAATGCAAATTTCATACACTTTTCTGCACTATATAAGACGATATTCATAAACAGAACTATTTTTTTATATGAAAATCAAAACAATCCTCGAATAAAAGAACAGTAATTAAGGACAGTTAATTAATGAAATATTTTTAAATCATTATACAAATTAGTTAAACCTGAAGAGTGATTATTTCCTAGAAGTAGATAATATATGTATTAACACATATTGGGGATTTTAATGTGTAAATTACTATAAAGTAGAGATGAGTCGTTTTAATCTCAGAATTCGTTGGATAATTGCGCTCAAATTTCGCATTTACTCATTTAGATTCCATAATATTGGTTATACTTAATTAGCTTTTATGTTTCTCTAACTCTTCAGATGTTGAATATATAACTAATTATATTAAGAAATGGACAAAGTCCGACAATTTATTTATTAAAGACATTTTTATGTTTAACGTTCTTTTTTTTTTATAGAATTTACTTAAATACTTGTATCTATAAAAAAAAAGAACGTTAAACATAAAAATGTCTTTAAGAAATATAACTAATTCTAATTTCTATTTTCTCATCTTTACACTATATACATTTTATCTTATAAATTGTCCCCGGTTCTGTCACCCATGAAAAAAAATTGTTTGTACGGAAAATAAGGATCTACGTACATGAAATCGTCTTTAAATTAACTGAAGGCAGAAGAATTATCGTTGAACTTTTAAAAGGTAAGCTTGAACATTAATTCAATATTTAAATGCAGCGATCAGTTTTGTGTTTGGTAGTTTATTGATGCCCATCGCATCTACTCCTCCCTAGCTATTAGGATGATGGCCAAACCAAGAATCCTCCACAGGAGCTAGCTTAAACGGTGTTCAATAAGGCGGCTTTAAAGCTAGTTTATAATAAAACGTGCACTGCAATTTTGTATACAAAAGGAAAATAAGAGTTACTCCCCTTGAACGATGAAAGCAAGGATAATGGCTAGTATAATATATTAATATATATTTTAACCTTGCATAATCTGGAAACCTTGGTTCTGAACTCAACGAAAATTGTTCCCTGCGACTAAATTTTCTAGAGCTTTTGAGTGAGCTGTGAATCATTGAAATCGGACCAGTGGCACCGAACGAGTTACTTAGACGCACACACACGCACAAACAAAAACAGTGTATATTTTATATATAAGATTCAGGAAATTTTCTCCCCTTCCTTAATTTATGCAGTGAGCATTCTAGGAAAAAATAATTTTATAATTTATAAAATAGGCGGTTGGAATAAAAGTGTCTGAGGTGGAAAAAAAAAGAAAGAAAGGAAAATCATTGTCTCGTCTGCTTGAAAATCAAAGTTAAGTTCTTACAAGCTTAGTTATATGAACATTTTAAAGGAACCGGACGTTCCGGCGTAGACCTTTTGGCGTGGCTGATTCGGCGTGGACCATTCGGCGTGGTCGAGTCGACATAGGAATTTTTATTACTAGGAAGATTACTACTTCGTCGTTATAGTCAAATTCCCCCCCTCTCAACCCCTCTCTCTCGTTTAATAGTCAAATTAGTACTTCTTAGTTAAATGCTCGAATTGTCCAATTTAAGACAAAGAATAGTTGGAGGCATTTTTTATATTTAAGAGAAGGGGCAATGCGTCACTCTCCTGGAGGATAGCATCATGGAGGCACTAAAGATGAACATGGAAGGACTTCGCCAAAAGGAATTAATCAAATGAAACGTTCTTCCTAGATGTTTCCAATCAATAAAATATTGAAATAAAATCTGCAGAAAGAATTTGTCAAATCGGTTGAATGTTGATCCCCCTTTTTTTCATAAGTAAAGCGTTATTTTTTCAAACCAGCGCCATTTGCCGAAAAAATAGTTAAGTGTCGCATTTAATCTTGTTCCGCCTTGTTAAACGTTGTAGACTGAAGATCGTCACAACTTGAATAATTTCAACAGCTGCGATTTCTACAGGATTCTGTCGATAATCATTTCCACTGTCGGCAAACCGTTAGCAAGTATAGATATTTCGTTACAGCGTTCATAATTTAATTTGACAAATTTCCTCCTATGAGTTTTCGTTAACACATTCTATTTCATACGACACACACGGACATGTCGCTAATTACTTCTGTTGTACACGTGCGTCTATTCTCTGGTCTTCCTTAATTAAATATAAATAGTCATAGCGACTCGCTAAACACTGATTCTTGTTTGCTTTGTTTTGGTTAGTTTTACGGCATATCAACCTCAATGGTTTATTTAATGCCGACAAAATTTTTTATTGCTGCTAATAGTTTTTATCTATCTATCTATCTATCTATCTATCTATCTATCTATCTATCTGTCTATCTATCTATTGGTTTAGTTTGATTTGTTTTACGGCATATCAACCTCAATGGTTTATTTAAAGACGACAAAATTTTTATTGCTGGTATTTTTTTTAAATGTATTGCTGGTAATATTTTTTTCCTTCCAAAATATACTGCAGGTAATATTAAAAAAAATGGTTTGTTTTGTTCTTCTGCGTATCACCCTCAATGGATTATTTAATGCCGACAAAATTATTATTGCTGGTAATATTTTTTTTCAAAAAATCTATTGCTAGTAATATTTTTTTCTTCAAAAATCTATTTCTGGTAATATTATTTTTCAATAATGTCTAGCTGGTAATATTTTTTTTCAAATGTATTGCTGGTAATAATTTTTCCTTCCAAAAGTTAATTTAAGTATTTCTAGTATTAAAACCTATTTTTATTTTTATACTTTCATAGTATTTTGACCCCAGTTCAAGGTGGGGAAACTATTTGCCCACAGCTAAGATCCTAACAGGTGCTACCACCCCGGGTCAAGGTAGACTTGTGAACACCAGCAATTAAGACGTTCCTCAAACCCTCCTGATCAGAGGCCTTGCTGTTGGACGTTGTTTATGGTCTTACCCAGGACGCGGATGTAGTTTATCGTCATACCCAGGATGGTTCTCTGTTGTGACACTGAGATGTTCCGTTTTCTGCAAATATCCCAAATAGTATTAAATGTGAATGTATTAAAGAAAACCTTTTAAACATACATCCGATTAAATAATTGGATACACACTGAACTTACTATCAAACCGAATACGCTATCAATGAGAAACGAAACACGATTGGCCATCATAAATCTAGAAGAACTCTCATGATCCAAGTTCTACACTTAGGATTGTCCCACGGGACAACAGCCTAGTGGTTTAAAACATATTGGTCTGTGAATTTGTTAACATAATATGGACTGGAGGTGCAATAGCTGAGCAGAACTAAATAGGACACGAAGAGATATCCCGAGACGTGGGAAACGAGAACAGTCTACCTTGTAGATTAAATAAAGTGTTCAGTTCGAAATTCTCTGAAGGTTATCCAAATCAACAAACGCCTGATGATGACCGGTGAGCACATCGGTCGAAACATTGATAATAAAATCAAAGTTGAGGCTAATATTCCAAGTGTAGTCTATGTAATAGATTCTAATCCCAGGAATAATAACGCCTCGCATCTGTAATTTAGACAGTAAATCGCTCTCAAATACCTACCTTTGACCTTGCTTATATAGCATCCAATGAACATCAAACATATTATTATTAATGGGTTCAACTAGCTTGCTTCTAACGGAGCTAGAAAAGAACTTTTCCATATTCT